CGAGCCGCTCGGCTCGTTGCTTCTCTCGGTCCCTAGAGATGCTCGAGCGTTGCAGCGGCAGTACCGCTGTTAACACGGGGCGCGTTCGTTCGGGGCCCCGTTAGCTGGCGCGTGGCTCTCGGGGCCGGGCTGGCATCCGCAGCTCGTGCTTGTTCACGGATCAAAGGTGCAATTTATTTATTTATTTTTTCGTGGTACCTAGTGTGCGAAACACTCTTCCTCGGGAGATCTGAGAGCCGGAAGCGTGCGCTGTCTCCCCCTCGCTGGGAGAGCTAAGTGCGAAGGTAATTCAGATGGGTTTTTATAGCGCTGGAAGTGCGAGGATGAGCCTTGGAGGAGGTTAAGCGCTTCTGAGGTCTCGGAGCATGTTTGTTGTTGGTGTCAGTGGAGTTAGTGATAGTTAGAGCAGGGAAACGAGGTCGGAGTCGGGCCCTTCGCGCGCTGGCTGCTGCTCGCAGAGGCCGGGCTGTATTGCAGGAGGCGGCTGGAGGGGCAAAACTTGTCCCCTCCGCCAGGACTCACCGTGCCTGCACCTTCTTCCTTCTTCTGTTCTTCCCTGAGGCCAATCTGGGAGGGAACTGGGCTGGGACCTGGGCCCCGAACAATGCGGTGACCTCCACAAGGTTGTCCTGTAGGAGGCTGGACTAGATGATGTCCAGAGGTCCCTTCCGACCTCAGCCGTTTTGTGACTCTGTGACCCTCATGGCAAGGTGCCGTGTGCCTGCCTGGGGGTCTTGGGTGGTCTCCGCTTGTCCTGACTGTGCTCCTTCCCCCTCTGCAGAGCTACACCAAGAGCGCTGCCTTCATCGTCACCCTGCACCCGCTGCAGAACACCACCACCGACTTCTGGCGGCTGGTGTACGACTACGGCTGCACCTCCATCGTCATGCTCAACCAGCTCAACCAGTCCAACTCTGCCTGGGTGAGTGCACGTCATGGCCCGGCTGCCCACCTGAGCGGGCTGTCCCACTCCATGAACGTTCCCGTGGCTTGCGGTATCATCAGCGCAACCAGAGCCCCTGGCTAGAGCTCCATCTCCTCCAGGAAAGGAGACAGGACTGGCTACGGGGGCCAGGTTTTAGCCCTCTTAAGCACAGAGTTGGCTAGTTGGAGCCTAAGATGCATGGCAGCAACCAGCTGGCTGGACTTCTGTCATGACTGTCGTGACATTGTCTTGGTATTACCGTACTGTAATTGCTGTGCACACGTGGGTTAAGTCAGTGTATGCCCCAGGGAGATCTAGGGTTAACGAGACACGGGAAAGTTTGGGAGTAAAGAACTGATTTTTTCCTCCTCTTACAGAGGGGAAACTGAGGCACAGGGCCCTACCCTGGTTCTTTAGACAGTTTTTGGTAAAGCTCGGCATGAAATGGTGTCCCTGGTTCCTGTTTCAGAGACGCACCTCCGGGACCGCGTTTCTCTAGCGAGATGTGTCCTTCCTCCTTGCTCCCTGCCACGAAGGGTGGTACAGTCTTGCTGTGTCCTGTCAACCGGTTTCAGCGCTCTTCCCCAGAGGAGGTTGCGTTTCGGTGTCGACTCAGCAAGCTTTGATTTTTCCAAGAGCGCTAGCGGCTTGTGAATGCCGCTTCGTAAGTCGGCGTGCTGCAAAGTGGGTTTTATAGGTGTGATGGGACGGGCAGATCTGCCGAGCTGGAGGGGACATGTTACCTGTCACCCGCCCTCCAGAGAGAGGGGACAAAAACGCACCTCATAAGGCACCCTGGGAGCTAGAGCTGTGTTTCAGCCTGGTCTGGCTTTGCTCTCCTGGCGTACCGTCCCCAGAGGGATTCCTGCAACGCTCCTGCCGCCACCGGAACAGATTTAAGAGTCCATTACAGGTCTGTAATGTTAGTTCAATGAGGAAACGTATTGGATTTTTACATAAAATTAACATTATAGACTCTGAATGGATATCTGGAGAAGACTTCATTAGCTGGATTATTTTACGAGTTGAGATCAGATACTCGATGTAAATGACCCAAAACGGCAGTTGCACTGTTCGCTGGGAGGACGTGGATGGATGGAGCGACGGCCCTGTGTGAAGTTACTTGTCTCTTTTACGTCGAACCAAGCGGAGGGTGAAGGGGGATGTCATATAAATAGGCGTGCTAGACATGCACGTAGCTCTATGTCTGCGTGTAGCACGCTCCTACGTACGTACGTGTTGAGCTAACGCTGCAGGCTCAGAGGGACCTTTGTGCGAGGAGACGTTCAGCAAGCCCTGAGCGCGGAGGGATGTCTGGGGGGTCTCTTGCCCCATGGAGATTTGCGGAGGGGGAAGCACTGTCACCGCAGTGGCTGAATGCCTGGGGCCCGGACACCGGGGAGATGTTCCTGTCTAGTCTGCGTAGTCCCCGGCCACAGACAGGCAGACCTGGCCTCAAAGAGCTTCCCAGCTTGTTGCTAGCTCAGAGCAATCTGCTGCTCTTAGAGCAGGTTAATATTTAACCAAGCAATCTGCCAGTGCATGCACTGAACTGGGCGGTTGTGCATGACGAGAGGGATTAGAGGGGCCTCTTCCAGCCCCAGCGTCCAGGAAAATCAGAGCAATATATTGGGAAACCCTAGCCTGAGGCTGAGGTTTCGTTGGGGATGATCAGGAGAAAGAAGGGTTTGTCTTGCCGGTGCTGTCTGTTATTTACAGTAATATGTGGCTCTCGTGTAGCACTTTTCTTTCCCAGGCCTTGAAATTCATTACAAAGATGGGTGATTATTGCTATCTGCATTTTACAGATGGGGAAACTGAGGCACAGAGTGGGGGGAAGTGACTTTGGCAAAGCCACGCAGCAGGTCAGTGGCAGCACCCAGGACAGAGCTCCGGTTCCCGGGTCCAGTCCCTTGACCCAGGTGGCCACCCCTGATCTCCTCGCGGCGTGGAAGGCACTTGGCACATTGCCGGATCGAGCCTTGGGCTGACAGAGATGGCTGCCGGGGGGGATAAATGGTTTTGTTCCCTTGGGGATGGATCTGCTTGACTTCCCTCTTCGTGCAAAGAGGGTTTAAAGCATGGAGGGTTTTGTCTACAAATGTGGCTATAAAGGAGAATAGGATGCAATTTTTGGAGCTGCGGAGGCAGATTCAGCTGAAGAAGGAGAGCTGATGCCCATTAATGTGTTTTGCACCTGAATTCACATTTACCCTTGTGTGTACACAGAGGTAGATACTAGGGATGTTGTGCCCCTTCCAAAATCCAGCCCTACAGCAGTACCACCGTGTCACCATCTCCTCCGTGACCCTACAGCACCTCATGTCTGCAGCAGCAGACATGAACCCGGCTGCTTGCTGACCGGGGCAGTGAAGGAGGGAGCAGAACAAATTTTGTTTTAATTGTCTCTACCTTCTGTTTCATTCCCTATTTCAGAAACGCTCTGCAGCGTTGCAAGAACTTCCCGGCTCCCTGCATCCTATTCGGATGCTCCCCCACGGTGCCCTGCTCTCCCGCTCGCTGGGGCTGGCGTGGGAGGGCAGCGCTTTGCTCTCTTCCTCGCGGCCCGGGTGCCTCTGCACCCTGTCAGCTCGGTCTGCAGGGAGGTCCTGGAGCAGGCAGTCCGCTGGTACCGTCCAACGCTGCCATATTTCTTCATTATTCAGCTCTGCTTCTCTCTGGACGCCTATTCTTCAGGGATGTCTGTGTAACAATGTTTAGCTGGGTCTTAAATGTTTACCAGTTTGAGACCAACAGCTAATCAATCAGCCTTTACAGCAGGCAGCTTTGAAAGGTGACTTAGAGGGTATATCCCTCACTTGAACTATGTCTTGCCGAAGGAAGTTTTAATATCCAAATTATAGCTCGGAGTCTAGAAGGCTTAGAGATCTTGGAGATTTATAGCTCCTATTAATAACCAATTATTTCTCAAACACATTTGCCATGCAGTTAGGCCCAAGCCGTTAGATGGCCTGAAATGCTAAATGTTCTGTTGAAGTGCAATGACAAACATCATATATTTTGTATTGACGCTGGTTTCCCAGCAGTTGTGGTGTGAAAACAATTGCATCCTCGACCCTTGGAATGAGCAATCCATCAGTGCTCTGCTGGCCACGTGCGGGAGAGCGCAGCACGAGGGATTTGCTTTCCCGGAGCATCTGCTCCTTTCCTGGACTGCTGCTTTTCAAGTTGAGATTGGTCCCTCTTAGAGGGAGGTGAAAGGGGTGATCTTAGTGCTGAACTGCTCTTGCAAAGCTCCTTCCAAAGTCAGGAAGCAGAATGGCTTGAGAAGCATCCTTGGGGCCAGTCAAGTCCTGCTCTGTCACGCTGCAGGATCAGACCCGTCCTGATCTGGGTCAAGGCAGGGACCAGGACAGGCAAACCCTGTTGCTGGAAGCGTTGGCAGGCACAGCTGCACCCAAGTATTTGTGTTCATGCAGTCAGGAAAGGGCTACGTGGACGTAGCAGAGGGTGGACCTGAGCTTTCAGCTCTGAGCCACCAACGAGCAGAGGCCACCTCCATCCAGCAATGTGCTGTGGCTCTTGTGCGAGTGACAGGCATGTGGATCCAGCACCCTGCACCAGGGACCCCCTGCCCGGCCTGGCCTCGGGGCCACTCCTAGGTGTCAGAAGCCCGTCTCGGTGTCCTACCTCCTGCCTGGCACCCATGCCCCTGGTCCCGTGTCCGTGCCAGCCCGCTCTGTCCCACTCGGTGTCGCCTGCGGTGCGTGGTGCCCGCTCCATGCGTGCTGGTGTGCTCATGGCTCACGGCAAGTTGTGCCTCTTCTCTCCACAGCCCTGTTTGCAGTACTGGCCTGAACCTGGACTCCAACAGTATGGCCCGATGGAAGTAGAATATGTTTCCGGAGCAGCTGATGAGGACCTCGTGTCTCGTCTCTTCCGAGTCCAGAACATCACACGGGTGAGAGTCTTCCCACCAACTCCATGCCAGTGAAGTGTGCTTATGGGGGTTGCATGTGAGTGCGTGTGTCCAGGTGCTCTCCCACGTCCAGGCAGTCTCCCAGGCCGGAGATCTGGGCTGCTAAGAGAGCTCGTGTGGAGGGATGGGATCAATTTTGTTAGCTGCTGCTTTGGAGAAGGGCTGGCACATTGACAAAGGTTTTGTTCATATGAGCAAAGACTTCCTTCGGCGGGAAGAAGGATGATCCATCTAGGGAAGCAACACGACCCATTCGCTGCACACCTGGCTTTCACGCTTGACTGGTTCTGCTTGCTCGTAAATGAAGAGATATGTAGCTGAGTTGGGAAAGGACAGTGATCGTGATGAACAACACATGCGAGTGCAGAGTCGTATGCAAGGGAAGAGATGGAGAAGAAAGAGCTGATTTAACAACAAATGCCGGCCATGAAGAGTTGATATCCCTGTGGCCTGTAAATCTCCTGAGGGTTACCAAGAAGCTGAGGCCAATGTGCTGTTGGAGGTCATTGAGCAGATGAGAATTAGGGAGCTGAGAAGGGAACAAATGCCTTGATTGACAGTCCGGCAGGGAAGAGTGCTTCGGAGTGGGGAACTGGGGTCAAGTAAGATAAATCCTGGCTGATTATCTGGAATCTAATGTAAAGAGGTTTTGATTAGCGCTCCCCGTCAGAGCATCTGGCCTTGCCTGGGTGTCAGCAAGAAATCCCTCACCAAATGTGCTTTGCTCTCCACGTACTGACTGCAGATTGCAGAATATACCCATTGCTAAATTAAAATGCAGCGTGAATGAAATCTCTGGATCTAGGAAGAAACTTCCTCAGGGAACAGACTGTCGGAGGAGTGCTGGCGAAATGCAAGGAGCCCAGTTCTTGCCAAGTCATCCCAGCTGGCCACCCTGGAGGTGGGAGTCAGGCAAGACCTTGGCATCAGGGCGGTTTTGCAGGTCCTCTAAGAGCCAACCAAAGCCTTCATCTGGGCTTCAAAATGCAACCTGAAGCTTTTCTTCCTGGGCTGTCAGAGGAGTTTTCTCCTGTTTTTTCCTCCACTCATTTGTTTCATCCTTCCCCTTCTGCCTTTCTGGCTTCCAGCTGGAAACCGAAGTGTCGAGGGGCTGGGACGGCAGCCCATCCCAGCCAGATTGCTGACCTAAATTGGAGCTCCTGAAAAGCTGACAGAGTTTCAGAAAAGCCTTTGTGGTTTCGGTGTGCTCCTCAGCTGCCTCATGCTAGCAGTCCATCTATTGCTAGCGCTTAGCCAAGGCTTGAAGTGAGCCTAGGCCAGATTTAGCCCCTTTGAAGTGTCGGAGCCAAGCTTACCAGCCGGGCCCGTTAAATCAAAACCACGTTGTAATTCCTTCGCTTGCCGCCCTGTATAATTAGATCGGTGCTGAAACAGCCCCCAACCCTCCTGCTTGCTCCTGCACGGAAACTGCGGGGGCTGGCTTTAATGGGTATGGAGTGCTCCCAAAATATCCATCTTGCAGCAGCCGCCTCTCTTGCAGGTACCTCCCGGAATAGCTGCCGGCAGGTTGTTCTCAGTGGGGCTGCCCTGGGCGAAAGAGCTAGCGAGGGGGTGCTAAATGCCGTGAACATCGGCTTCGGCTCCTCTCCAGAACTCGCAAGCAGCCCTGGGTGACCCGAACGGCGAGGACCGTTGACGCGGAAAGGACTTTCTCTTCTCTCCAGTTCTGCTATCTGTAGCTGGAAAGTTTTATCATGTGTTAGACACAGCTTAAAAACCCAACCGTCCTCTCTCCACAAATGCCGTGGTCCTGGTGGCTCCCTTCAGTCCCTTTTAATGTCGAGCGAGTGAGCGGGTGTCAGGGTGGTCGTGTGTCTGGCTGTGACCGTTTGGGCAGCAGGGTGGACGGGGCAGCGTGCGGGTTTGGGGGTGGCATGTGGATCCCGCCTGCTGTTGAGATTCGGTGCTTGCCCTGCACCCACCAAGCATCGGAAGACGGGTGGACGGAGCCATGCAGAGCTGGGAATCCCCCATCTGCTTTTGATCCTCACCTTTCCCCTCTTATGTGTGCTCCCTGCAGCACGTCACAACGTGTGCCGCTCGAGCTGCTATTTGCTATTTTGTCCCATCAAAATGCCTGACATTTTTGTGAGTAAGAGCCGAGCCCTACCTCTGTGGGCTGAAGCTTGGCCTTGTTCCGCTTTGTGGATATAATCCTCCTCCCTTTGGAGCCTGCTAACCAGATTAGATTGCAAAACTAACTAGATTACCAGAGCATTAAGGCGCGCTTCTACCACTCCCTGCCTCCGTGGATGGGAGGTTCTCACGAGCCTCCTGGTTTGCAGCCAACGCCATAAAAAACATCTCCCAAGATCTTCTGTGTGCAAGACAAGGCTGCGTTGGAGGAGCCTTGGGGAGGCTCAGCAGTCCGGTAACAGGTTGCCTGTGCTGCTTATGGGATGCACAGGTAGCCCGAGGTGCTGCTGGGTAGAAAGCTGCCTTTGGTGTTGCTGTGAGCTGCTGCCGGGGTGGCAGCTGGGGTGGACGTGGCCAGCTGCTTAGAGCGGGGCTGGTCCTGTCTGCTCAACTGAGAGATCTGAGGCTGATTTGGAGTCACCCTTAGCAGCAAATACAGATGTACCCAAAGACTGCACAAGGCTGGGAAGCTTGCTGGGGTCTTACCCGTAAGCTTTGTCTGCTGTGAATACTCCCGTTTTCCCCCCTTTCTGTAGTATTAATGTGCGGCAAACCCCTCCTGTCCCCCATCAAACCTCCCGTGGAGGCAAATGAAGGCAGCCCATAGGTTCAAGCTAATGAGGTTTCGTTTTTTTTTTTTTTTCCTAGTTGCAGGAAGGGCACCTGATGGTTCGGCATTTCCAGTACCTACGGTGGTCGGCCTACCGAGACACCCCGGACTCCAAGAAGTCTTTCCTGCACCTCCTGGCCCAAGTGGAGAGGTGGCAGAAGGAGAGCGGCGATGGGAGGACAGTTGTGCACTGCTTGTGAGTGACTTCCGTCAGCTCGCTTGTCCATTGTCCTGCCAGGACAACCTCTGAAAAGCCCTAATTGGGGCAATTTCATGCCCAGATGAAAATTGAACCACTTTGAACCTCCTGGTTTCAGAGAGCTTAAGCAGCAAAGCTCATCTCACTTAGTGGGGTGCTCAGTAGACGTGATACCCACTTACGCTGAGCAGCATCCCGTCCTTCCACCCGGGTTCCCTGCCTTTGTAATGAGCCTCAGCAGAGATCCCAGACATATAACCGAGTCCCACGCATGCAACGGGTGATGGTGTTGTGATGAAGGGGTGTAACAGGAGCTGTGCAACCAGCCTCTTGCTTCTTGTCCAGGCTGCAGCTCTCTGCCCCGTCCTCCTCTCCGTTGGCTTGCACGCCTGCCTGGATGTGTTCACACAAACACAGCTGCATGCTCTCTTCATGTGGGACCTAGCACCTTCTCAGATAGGGAGAGACAGCAGGCGAGCCTTTAATCCAAAATTAATTACAGCCTCGTCCGTCTTCATTAGGCGAAGGATGATTTGAGAACATGCTTTATAAATTACTGGCATTGTGTTCTCTCTTCCTCTCCCCAGGCCCCTTTGGCTGCTTGGGGAGCAAACGTGGGCATGTCAGATGATTCCACTCCAAGATGGGTGGAGATATCCCAGGAGCCTCTGTGCTGGGCAAAATATGGGATGTGGCTGTTTCTTTGGTTCCTGCAGCCAGCGGTCTCCAATGGGTCATGAGCTCTGCGAACAGCGCAGAGACACCTTGCAGATGGGGAGAGTCGCAGAGGACAAAGTGACCTCCACAAGGTCACACAAGGAGCCAGTCCACGACAGGGCTGTGAACTGAACCCAGGCGTCCTGGAACCCAGCCCAGATGGTCCAAAAGGTGTCGCTCGGTAGTTTCCTCTTGCGAAGCTCTGCTATGAAGGGGTACAGAAAGTGCCGGGCAGGCTGCAGGTCAGAGGGCAGGATCTGGTGCAGCTCCTGCCACCACATGGGACCTAGTTCAGGCCCCCCAGTTTGGTGCTGTCTGGTCAATGTGGTCAAAAGGAGCAGCTCCTCTGTGCAGCTGCCTGCAGGCCAGTGCAGCGTGCTGGAGAGGGGGTAAAACCCTTTCCTCATCTTGCTGGAAGGCTTTAGTGCAATTTGGGGTCACCCTGTTGCTGCCCAGGAGCTTGATTTGTCCGTGTCTTCCCTTCCCATAAGTGGACAGAGGGTAAAAGCTCTGCTTGACTTACTCAGGGTGTGAGGGCAAATGTCGGGTAGATACAAACAAGAGACGGACGCTGCCAGAGACGCTGTTAAAATCCGAACATTTTCTAGCGCCGATTCCTCTTTCCTCTCTCATTTTGTGTTTCTCCCACCAGGAACGGGGGTGGTCGGAGCGGCACCTTCTGTGCCTCCACCATGGTCCTGGAGATGATCAAGTGTCACAACATGGCAGATGTTTTCTATGCTGCAAAGACCCTCCGCAACTACAAGCCAAATATGGTAGAGACCTTGGTAAGCGTTGGACACTGCTGGCATCCATCCCGGTCGCCGGTCCCTGTGCTGGTCCCTCCCGGCCCTTCCATCCCTGGAAAAAGCACCGAGGGATGCCCACCCTCACTAACGGCTCCTGAATCCTGACTTGCATTTTTAAGGCATTCACCCGTAGCCTCTCTCCAGCCGCCTGCGGAGCAGATCTCGGCGAGCGGGCCAGCGCCGTGCCCAGGCCCGTGTAGACAGGGAGACGAGTCAGGTCTTGAAAACAGCCTCAGGCTTGCCTTTATCTTGCAGTGCTGACATGCCCTTGGCGTTGGCGCTGGGCTTGTCGGAAATCCTGCCCTGCAATAATAAGGCAGGTTCTCATTAATTCGTGGGATGTAATTCCAGCTCTTCTGAGGGTTTCTGATGTGGCTGCGAAGGCAGAAGTGGCTCCTTGCGTTGTTTGCCTGCTTGCAGGCTCCCGCGCCGGCTGAGCTGAGCAGACTCGGCTTGACGTCCTCCCGCGGGTGAGATGCCGTATCAGAGCCCGCCCGGGGCAGCGTCCCGTTCCCCTGGGGGATTTGATGTGGGGTGACGGCTTCCCAGTGTAACCCTTGGATGAAAGGAGAAGGGGAACAGGAGCAGGGTTTTATCGCTGGAGACATCAGGAATGTCACGCATACCCACAAACTGCTCTCGGGGCTGTGCAGATTGCATCTAGGATGTCGCAGCGCAGGGAATGTAGAAAAGAGCCGTGGACGTGATTCAGAGGCCAGAGAAAATGTCCCAGAGTTAAATTTGTGCAGCGGGATGTGCGGGATGGCTCTGTGCTGCCAGAAGGGAGCTGACGGCTGGAAAGGGAGGTCGGACAAATTCCTACTGGCGTTAAAAAGGAACCACGTTTTGAGTGAAATTAATTGGCGGACAAGCCAATAGAGCCATATTTCACGACAGCGAGGCTGGGGATGGCGGTGGGGTCAGGCAGGAGGAGGAAGGGCCCATGCCCCATTGCAGACTCTCACTATAGGGATGGAGGAGGGAGAAGGCACGTGTCCATCCTTGTGTTTTCAGTGCTTTTTTGGAAGAATCCAGGTGGCTTATGGTGTTTTGAAAGCAAGTCAGCCGGAAATGTTTACCCTGTTTGGATTATGAAATCCTTAAGTTGAAAAATGAGATGGTTTTGAGGGGGTTGCGATTTGCATTAGGAATTAAAGTGGAAGGGGAAAGTGAGGGAGGGGACAGCAATAGCGGGAAGGATGCAGATAATCAAAAGATGAAGAGACAGTCATGAAGTCACCAGGCCCATTGGGCTAAATTGCAAAGGTATTAAAAAAGCAACGTTTCAGATCAGCACACAATCGTCCTCCAGCCTCGAATGAACCTGAAATGTCTATTCCGGGAATCCCAATCTAATAGAGCCACTGCAGAGGCCAGATCCTCACCTGATGTAAAGAGCTGTAGCCCAGCAGATATCAGCTAAAGCGTGGCTATTTCACACTGGCCGCTGGCCCAACCCGTGCACCTTCCCCCGCTGGCTGCCCGTGGGGTTTATTTTTATATTATGATAAATGGAAACAATCCCTTTTCTTAATCCGGAAGCATTATGTGCTTTTAATATAAGCTGTCACAGCCTCCTTGCTTTGAAGTCCTTTTCCCTGGGTGCCCGCTCGCCCCTGGGATCCGCAAAGAGCTGCCCACCCTCCCGGGTGAATCCTGGTAGGATGCTCCCACCAGCCGCTGAAGCTTCCCGTGGTGCCGGCTGGAGCGGGGTGTTTTCCAGGTGCCCCCCCCCATGCCGCTGTGAGGATCGCGGGAGACGGTATCTCCCCTCCCCTGCCGTCCCCGCACGGGGTCTGCGCGGTGGTAGCAGCATCCTCGCTGCCGTCGGTGCTCAGGCTGCTCCCACCCATGGTCCCGGTGCTTGCGACGTCCCGGTTGGCACCCACGGGGCAGGACACGGGTTGGGATCCCGCTGCCGTTGGCACGGCTGAACCTGTTCGTGGTGGCAAAGGAGACGGCTCAGAAGTGACAGGCACCAGGTGTAATAGGGTAAAGGCAGCCGATCCCGTCCAAAACCTCTTTTTCTTCCCCTCTGGCTGGTTTGCTTGTTGGATGCTCGAAGGGAGGGCCGCAACTTCCGAGGGTGGATGGGGACAGCGGGTTGGAGAAGAGCTTGGCGATCACGGGAGCTGCAGAGATGGGGAAATCTTTGACCCAAGCAACAAGCTACTCGCTTTTTCAGCGTTGCATTTTCCTTCAGAACGTGTGACTTGCCAGCAAACGGAAAAGAAAAAATGAGGACTTTGAGAAAAGAAATCTCCTGAGACTTTTTCTGCCCTCTTCTTCCCCTGCAAAAAGCCAACACCCAAATGCAGCAGTGTCGCACTGCCAGGAAGGGAAAAAGGCATTTTCTTTCCACAGCAGCAATATCTGTAATGAAAACGATTCCTGGCAGCTCTGGGCAGGGTGTTTCCACAGTCAGGCATTCCCTGGTAATCCAGCCCCCGAACCGTGGATTCAGCGAGGTCAATGAACTCGCGTGGGTGCAAAACCAATTTTTAACTCAAAAATAAACTCCAAAGTACAACTGCCACCTGTTTCCGGGCCAGGATTTTAACTTTGTACGCCCCTCAGCCTCTTATCCTGACCCCAGTGTCCGCTCCCAGGTCCAACTGTTTGGGCAGGAGCCTCCCTGGGGGGGCAGGAAAGGACGAAAGCCCTTTGCAAGGGTCGAAACGTTTCCTGTGGCCCTTTGCAGGGCGGTTTCCATCTTCTGCTTTGAAATGACCCTTTGTTCTCGTTGAAATATCATTGCTTTTAAAGTAGCAAGTGAAAAGCTGAGGTTGGAGCAAAAACTGGATTCTGGGAGAATTGAGGCTTTTTTAACTTTGTTTAGTGGGTAGTTTCCAAATTCCTCTGGTTTTCTTTTTTTTCACATTGGGCTGAAAAGAATATGAAAGTTGCAAAACAAATAAAAAACCCAGAAAAACCTTGTCTTTTCCCTGCTGCCTGTTACCAATGAAGTCTGTGGTCCCATAGAGCTCTACTTATAAGCTTTTTCTTAGGACCATTAAAACTTATTTTGCCTTAAAAATGGGCAGCTTTGCAAAACGCTTTACTTGGGCTCTTACCACCTTCTTTTCTTTCTCTGCGCAGGAACAATACCATTTCTGCTATGACATAGCACTGGAATATCTGGAGTCGCTGGAGACCAGATAGCACCTTGCCAGGAGAGCGAAGGCAAGTGTTTGTTTAGGGTTTGTGCCAAACATGCATTTTGCACTTGGACGTCGAATTCGTGCTGAAGGCGAGGAGGGGGAAAACCAGCAAAGGACCGAACGAAAAGCGAAAATCAAATGAAAAACAAAAGGCAGGACATGGGGACGCGCCGGCCATTCCCGATCTTCATCCTCTGCTCACCATCTTCCTTTCCCTCCTCTCACCCTGAGCACACATCGGAGCGGACGTGGGTCGGATGCCAGGACTCATCCCGTCACTGCAGGGGTGTCACTTTGCCAGCCAGGACTTGGGTCACGGCTGTGGGTTCGGTGCACGGGAGGAGCCAGCTGGGACACGCTTGGACACCTCTGAAGCTGAAGAGAAGGCCGAGGAGGGGAGGAAGAGACAGAAGGATCCCAAGCCCGTTTCCCAACAAGGGCGTGATGGATGTTTGGAGATGAGAGTTGTCTGTGAGTTGTACGTGGAGTCGAAGCTGCTCTTCAGAGGAGCCTGGAAGGATGCTGGCAGGTTTTGCCCTTTGCAGGGCCAAGCTCTGAACTGGAGTAAAGACCCTAAAAGGAGCTTTCTGAATTTCACCCTGTCCTAATCATGAGTTTGATCTTCACTCTTTTATTTCTGTGAGTTGCCACCCTTTGGGTATCCAGCCCTGGAGAGAGAGGGGGGACGTAGGATGCGAGGTTGGGGGACGGGACGAGGAGCGTGGCGCTGCCCGGGCTGGTGCTTGTTCGGGGAGCGTGGGGGGCCTGGGCACACACCATCCCTCTGCGGGGACCACCACGGTCCCCTCTCGGTGTCCTTGCAGACCTTTTGAAATGACGGTTTCCCTTTGGCTTGTCTGTTCCCATGCAATCTTCTACACCCGTAGCAATTAATTCCTCTTGCGGGAGGGTGAAAGTTGGCCGTCAGAGTTGGCTATGGGAATTCCTGCTCCTGTCAGCAGGTAAAGGCCGTTCCTTGCCTACAGGATTATTCATCTGCAACCAGGCGTTTCAGGTGCTTTCATTCCCCTGCCCTCGGGGAACTGCGTTGCCATTGAGCAATGCTGCTTTTCCTAATGCTCCAAATCCTTTCCGAAGCCTCCGCGGCCCTGGGGCCCAGGGTGCAGCGGTGCGGCCCCGGAGGCGCTGACCTGTGGGTCCGGTTTTATTGCTTCCCCTGGGAATTGCTGCTGCTGAGACACCTTCAGGGTCCAGGACCCAACGTCTCCAAAACCTGGCGTTGCAGTGGGAAATTTGGGTCCTTCCCTTATGTCTCCGGAGGGCCTCGCGCAGGCTGTTGGGATGCTGTTTTTGCTTTTGCTGCGGGTTGCAAAGCCCGTTTTGGCTGATGGTGGCGGTGCTGCAGAGCACGGCGGGGGGGGGGGGGTGGCATCAGAGCTGGTGGCCGTGGATTGCAGGGGTGTCTCCAAAGGTAGGTCCTAAGCTGGAATGTAACCCCAGCAAAATCCATCAGTCAGGCCCTGCCTCCCGTGCTCAACCGAGGTAAAATCGGAGTTATTTCCTTGGAGCGCCAGGATAAAACCTGCTGTCAGAGGTGTCAGGATTATTCCCATGATTAGCCGGGCGCTGGGGTGAATCCGAACTCTTCAGGTGACGCCCTTCCTCTCCTGGAGGAGGTCGTCAGCTTTGATGGAGGGATTGGAGCTCCTCCAGAGATCAGTGGGGCGACCTGGGGTTAATCCTGGGAGCCGGCGCCGGGCTAATCCCGGGGACGCTGCGGAGGCCAGCGAGGAATGGCAGAGGGGCGAGCTGTGCCGAAACGCACTTTTCCCCTCTGATATCTTAGTAATTATGGGGTGCCGCGATTCAAAGAGGCTGGACGACGCTTTGGAGGACGCCGTTTGGCCGGTCGAATCCCGCGCGAAGCCAAAGCCGCTGCGCCTCGGCTGAGCTAACCCAGAGCAAATTTCAGTCCTCCTTCCAGGCGGGGAGCAGCGCACCAAGATACGTCTCCTCCCTCTCCCCATTTTGGAGGATTTAATCATATGCAACCACTCACGTGTTAAACATTTGCTACTCAATACCGAGTTGGGAATAAGCTCTGGTTTCCCATTGCCCTTGGCTGGTTCCTGCCCCGGCTTTTGAGGCTGTTGAACCGTCCCATGTCTGTCCCCACCGCCCCGTCGCAGCGGCAGGGACATATCCTGGGCAGATGCTGCAGTGTGGAGGACCGTGGTCCAGAGCTGGCGTCTCTGTGTGCGGAGAAGTCAGTCGGGGTCAGCAGGGTGGGATGATGGTTAGTGCTAGGGTGGCCGCGAGCAGCGTCCGACCTTGTGCCTCGTGTTAAGGAGCCTGGAAAAAAAATGCAAAAATCTCCGCGGGTGGCGATGGGGCTGTTGATGGATTTTGGTAGTGTTGATTGATTTTGCCCAGACACCTGGCTTTCCCGTGTCTTCGCTGAATAATTCACACTGGCCTAACAATAACTTATTCCAAGGGCTATAAAACACATTTCCATTCGTTTCCTTTCCCGCCTTCCTGCCCTGACGCGTGCTCCCGCCGTCTCGCGCCCAAATCGTCCCCTGGCCCCGCCAGCGCCTGCAGAGCTCTCCGGTTCCCCCAGCGCTTCCAGCAGCATCAGTGCTTGCCTTGCAAGAACGATTTTGAATAAATCAGTGCCCTTTTCCCAAATCCCCTCCTTTCCGTGGACGTGTCCGTGCCGTCGCTGGGATGCTGCGGGGTCCGTCCCGGGCTTGGAGGCAGGAGCGCTGCGGCCAGTGCGCCGGGTCCCGCGGGAAGCCCTGGAAGAGGGTCCGGTACCTCCCTGTGGAGAGGTATAGAGAGGTATAGAGGTATAGAGAGGAGGCCCCAGGGTGCAGAATTTGTAATTTTTTGCTTGAAAATGACCGAGTTGAACATGCGAATTTCCTGAGGACGGGATGTCACACGCCACCGTTCAGACCGAGGGTTTAGGATTGGTTTGGGGATGGAGTTGCTTCTTCCCAGACCTGCTGGGAGCATCCACTGTCGTGTGCGTGCATCCTTCGCTCGGACCCAAGGGAGGGGAGGCATCCTGCAGAGTGCTTTTGCACATGTATGTCTGCTGCTCACAGGTAAAATGCTACCAGGAAAAAAAAAAAAGAAAAAAAAAAGGAAAATTGAAACCCCGTTTAGTCCCGGTGAGAAAACGGAGACTGGAGGAGTTGTATATATGTTTTAAAATGAGATTTCTTTTCTTTTTTTTTTTTGATATCTCCTTGCTGGATGTCTCTGGGTTTTTCGAGCATCTCTTCAGATGGGCAGACTTTAAAATCAAAATGATATAAAGACCAAGTGATCTTCAGCTCCTACTGAGATGCTCATGTGACATGAAGCAAGGACATCCTGTACATAGAAATATATATATAGAAATATATATATAAAAATATAAATACCGTTCTTAAGATGGATGTTTATTGGTATTACAGATTGGAGTGGTGCTTTTTTTTCTTCCTTTTTAATAAAAACAAAAACCAACGGAAAAAAAAAACCCCTCCAACCCAAGAAAAAACACTAAATCGGAATGATTTTGTCTATACACGGAAAAGATGACCCCCGAAAATTCTGCCAGCGTCAAAGGGACTGATGCCGCTGGGCGTCTGCTGGCGAGAGACCGCCCTGGCGGTGCGGGAGGCCGGGGGTGGCTCCGCGCGGGGACGGAGAGAGGGATGGCGAAGGAGGGACACGCGGGTTGTACCACGCACATCCAGCTGTTGTTAACTGTTTTTTTTTTTTAATTATTATTATTTTTCGCTTTCTTTTAAGAAAAATCAGTTGCATAAATAAATGTTCCCAAATTCGTGATGGCCTCTGGATTTCTTTCGCTGGCTCTCGGCCGCGCAGCCCTTCAGAGCCCGCACCTCCGTACTTCCTGAAGCTTCCTCTTCCTCCTCCTCCTCCTTCTCCTCTTCCTCCTCCTCCTCCTCCTGCCCCGTTGCTCTGCCCGGTGGGAAGCTGTGATTTAGGGAGCCGCCATGCAGATGCCGCTCAGACGATGTTGCGGTTTTACAGACGCTGTTAAGACCGTGACGGTCTCCTTGAGCCGGCGGGGGCGGGGGCGGGGCGGCCCGCCTGTCCCGCTGTGGGTAGGGCCCAGGTGGTCCCGGAGGCTGGAATTGCCTTTGCTCCCTGCCTGGCTGCACCTACGACCGGGGTGTCCTGGCACTGAATAATAGGTAACTGCTGCTTTTAGACTAGAGGACCATATTGGCCATGTTTTGTCTTTTTTTCAGGTTTTTTGGGTGAAGGGGGAGCACATTTGCAGGACAAAATCCAGAGGTGCAAAAACCTCCCCGGCAGCGGCTGGCTGCGTTTTTGCCCAGCGCCGAGCGGAGGGGGCGGTTGCCTTGTCCTTGCCTGTCGCTGGTGCAGCTGCAGGTCTCCTAAAACCAGCGCGGTGAGTTGGGACGTTCTTAGAAGAGGGCCCGCCATTGTGAGAATTGCAAAAAACCGCCCCGAGATCAGGACCAGGCAAAAGCTATCGGCCGACCCAAGGAGGTTAACGCTCATCGTTCGCGGAGGTGAGGGAGCAGCAGCCACGCTGACGGTAAGAGCCCCTGGGCTTCTTGGTGGGTTAGGACTAATATTTCTTTGCCAGGTGAGAAAGGAGGTTTCCTGCCGGTGCTTTCCCTGTGCTTAGCTTGTCCTGATTTACTCCGGTTCTGGGGATCTGGCCCTGGGAAATGCAGGCAGAGTCCCTGGAGCTGCAAGGACTTGGAGTAGGAGGAGATACGTGATTTTCTGAAAGCACCAGGGAGCGGGGATAGCGAAGGAGGAGGAAGCCCTAGCCTCGATTTTCCGAGTGGGAAGGACAGGCCGTTGCTGGGAAAAGAAATAGCAAGGAAGGAGAAACTCTTTTCAGTGCATTTCCCAGCTGGAAAATAAAAAACATAGTGTAAGAAAGGGCTACAGGAAAAGAAAGCTCGGGCATTGTCGTTAGTGATTTATTTATTACAAAGCAGCCTTCAGTTTAATGTGTTGTGATATTAAACACTTCCAGTAACACTTGAGTCTTAATTTAATGCAGACCAAGGAAAAAAAAATCTAATTGACTTGTCAGGACTGTTTTTCATCTTTAATTAAGGCTCGTGAAGGATGTAGTAATTACATTTTACCAATAAATAATAAAAAGGGGGATAATGCAAATTAAAATCAAGAGTTGTACTTAGGAAGGGCTCTGAGCGTGCGTGTTGCCTCCAGGCTGAGATCTGTGCCCTTGCGGGGGGTGTCCTGGCCGTGCTGGTACCTGGGGACGGGCTCAGCCCAGCTGCTCGCGGTCCCCAAGCCGCGTAGCGCTGGCCTCGAGGGCAGGGGGTCCTGGCGCGAGTGGCGGCGGCCTGGGGGGAGCCGGGGGGTCCTGGGAGCAGCCGGGGAGGCGTGAGGCTGCAGGCAAGCTCCGGAAAGAGCTGAGCAGGCCTGGCCTGGAGCTGGGCTGCCCTACCGGCCTCAGCCACCCAACGCCCAACCTGCCACCAGCGCAGACAGAAGGACCTGTGCCCAGGGGGCCCCCCAGTCTGGGGGTCCCCTGCCTTCTCCT